TCATGTAGCTGTGAGAAGAGGGCCATTGTCCTCCAGACCCCAGAATAGTAGATTAACTGACAGCTTGCACTGTGTACCTAGAAAAGATCCAGACACTCAACATCAGCCTGTGAAGGCAGCTGGGAGGGAGGTTGTACAATGCAAAGCCATAGGGGTGGAAATGCCCAAGACTACGGGAACCCACCTCTTGCATCACATGACCTGGGAGCTAGACATGGGGTCATTCTGGAGCTTTAAGATTTGACTGTCCTGATGGATTTCTGACTTGAACGGGTTTGTAGTTCCTTTGTTTTGGCCAATTTCTCTCATGTGGAATAGCTGTATTTACCCAATGTCTGTACCCACATTGTATCTATAAACTAACTTGCTTTTGACTTTATAGGCTTATAGATGGAAGGGACTTGCCTTGTCTCTGATAAGACTTTGGACCATGGACTTCTGAGTTAATGCTGAAATGAGCTGAGACTTTAGGGGACTGTTGGGAAGGCATGATTGGTTTTGAAATGCGAAGGTATGAGATTTTGGAGAGGCCAGGGTGGAGTGATATGGTTTGGCAGAGCCAAATGGGGACACAGATAGGGACACAGATGTCCCCATTCAAATCTTATCTTGTAGTTCCCATAATTCCCATGTGTTGTGGGAGGGTTCTGGTGGGAGATAACTGAATCATGGGAGTGGGTCTTTCCCATGCTGTTCTTGGGATAGTGAATAAGTCTCACGAGATCTGATGGAATCATAAGGGGGAGTTTCCTTGACCAATCTCTTTACTTGCTGCCATCCATGTAAGACATGACTTGTTCCTCCTTGCTTTCTGCCATGACTGGGAGGCTTCTCCAGCTACGTGGAACTACAAGTCTGATTAAATCCCTTTCTTTTGTAAATTGCCCAGTCTTGGGTATGTCTTTATCAGCAGCCTAACAAGGTACTAATACAATCACTGATGTCTTTCTATAATCTTGAGAAACTGGTACCTGAGATCTTTTTTTGAACTTTGGAAGTTTTATGGTTTTGGCTGGGCACGGTGGCTCACACCTATAATTCTAGCACTTTGGGAGGCTGAGGTGGTTGGATCACTTGAGGTCAAGAATTTGAGACCAGCGTGGTCAACATGGTGAAACCCCATCTCTACTAAAAAATACAAACATTAGCCAGGTGTGGTGGTGGGTGCCTATAATCCCAGCTACTTGGGAGGCTGAGGCAGGAAAATTGATTGATCCCAGGAGGTGGAGGTTGCAGTGAGTCAAGATCACACCACTGCATTCTAGCTGGGGCAGCAGTGAGAGACTCCATCTCAAAGAAAAAAAAAGTTTGAGGGATATGGGCTAAGAAAAAAAATATTAAAGTAAATTTGAGACTCTATTCTGTAAAATGAGAGTAAACTAACGTAAAAAGCTGGCATGGTTGGTACAAAACTGCTTCATTTAACAACAAAGAAAAATCAACTGCTGGCAGTGAAGTACATCAAAAACAATTCTGTGGCAGAGTGTCAATATGAATCCATATGAACTTCTACTAGTTTAATTTCTGGACATTTACCCCTGGAAATAATTCAAGGAACTATAAAAGGTTTTTGTATGAGAATATTTACAGTTATTGATACTAACAAAAATTGTAAACCCACCAGTGTTCCTATGCTCAGTAAATGTTGCCATGAACCACATAGTGACTGAGGTCAGAAACCTGGTGTAAAGCTGGACTCTTCCTCAAGACCTGCACAACACCCAGGCCTGCCATGTCTATTCCCTGCATATCTCTCAGATCTGTCCATGCCTCTCCATTCACTGGCACCACCTGAGTATGGGCTGTCTCACCCCCAACCTGTACTGCTGTAGTCATTACCTCTGAGTTATCTTCCTGCTTATCTCACCACCATCCAGTCCATTCTCCCTATGGCAGAATGGTCCTTCCAGAATGATAATCTGATGATGCCAATCTCCCTGCCTAAAAACCTTCATCTGGAAGTTCAAAGGAAGAAACTTAAATTCCCTAACATGACTTTCAACACTCACCTAAATGATACCCATCTCCTGCCTTTGCCATTCCCACTGTCCAGTCATAGGGAGCTCCTTACAGTTCCTTGAATGTGTCAAGTTTTATCTAACCTTCAGACCTTACCATGTACTCTGCCCTCTTGCCTGGGCTTGTCTTCCCCCAAAAGCATCTCAGTACTTTTTGTAACTGCCATCCACACTTACTATCTTTGCTTCCTCACAGCTTCCCTGCTATATAATCTGGTTTCTGTTCTTATCATCACCTCAGTATTCACCTCAACAAAGTAATCAATGAAAGAAAAATAACATAAAAGGAAAGGAAAGAGAAAATTTCAAACATCCATATTTAGCACTACATATCAGGCACTATGCTAAGCTCTTTACAAACTCATTTATTCTCTCTGGAATCCCATATCCTCCAAAACAGTGAAAGGTATCAAAAAAGGGAGTGAGGCCAGGTGCAGTGGCTCATGCCTATAATCCCAGCACTTTGGGAGGCCAGGGTGGGTGGATCACTTGAGGTCAGGAGCTCGAGATCAGCCTGGCCAACATGGTAAAACATCGTCTCTACTAAAAATGCAAAAAGTAGCCAGGTGTGGTGGCTCACATTTGTAATCCTAGCTTCTTAGAAGGCTGAGGCAGGAGAATTGCTTGAACACGGGAGGTAGAGGTTGCAGTGAGCCCAGATAATGCCACTGCACCCCAGCCTGAACAACAGAGTGAGACACCATCTCAAAAGAAAGAAAGAAAGAAAGAAGGACAGAGAGGATACCCCTTTCATTTTTGCTTTTCCTCTTGTTTTCCTGGCAATCTTTCTCTGTTTCACTTGCTAGGTAATCTCTCACTTCAGCCATGAATACTCAAATTCCTCAAGAATCTGCATCAGTTCTTTTCTCCCTCCATCAACTCTCCCTCGGTGATCTCATCCTCTCCCATGGAAATCACTGTGTAAGTGAATGACTTTCTGACCTATATTCTGAGCACCAGCCCCAATTATCTTTTTCTTTCTTTTTTGGGGATGGAGTTTTTCTCTTGTTACCTAGGCTGGAGTGCAGTGGCGCAATCTTGGCTCATCACAACTTCCACCTTCTAGGTTTAAGGGATTCTCCTGCCTCAGCCTCCTGAGTGGCTGGGATTAAGGCATGTGCCACCATACCTGGCTAATTTTTTTTGTATTTTTAGTAGAGGTAGGGTTTCTCCATGTTAGTCAGGCTGGTCTTGAACTCTCAACCTCAGGTGATCTGCCTGTCTTGGCCTCTCAAAGTGGCTGGATTATAGGCGTGAGTCACTGAGTCCAGCCCAGCCCCAATTATCTAACTGCCTACTGTTATCTCCACTTGTATGCCTCACAGGCATCTCAGACTCATTACCTAAAGCAGAGCTTGCCATCTCTCCATCACCCAGTCACATGCCAGGTCCCTGGCAGAAACATCCACTCAGTGGTCCAGACCAGAAACCTGGGAGTCATCTATGACTCTTTCTTTTTTCCCCCATATCCAATCAATCTCCACGTCCTATCAATTCTGCCTCCTAAATCTTTCCTATATCCATCTATTTCTCTTCATCCCCACTATCTTCATCCTGGTTCGAGCTACCATCATTCTCAGCTTTGGTTACCTCAATAGCTTCCTAACTGGTTTACTTCTATGGTTGGCACAACCTCCCCAATCCATTCTCTAATATCAGCCAGAACAATCTTTCTAAAAAGTACTGGTTTTGAATGCGAATATGCCATTTACTGGGTGTGTACTCTTGGGCATATCACCCAGCCTCTCAAATTCTTGGCTTCCTTATCTATAAATGGGAAATAATAATGTGTCTTGGGGTGGTAATAATGCTTAAAAGAGACAATCCAGATAAAGTGAGAGAACGGGGCACTCTAACAAACCATGAGTAGGAGTATAAATTGTCAGAAAAGTTAAAGTAAGAAATAGTAATGAAGTACTCTCAGGACCTTGTCACTGTATCTCATTTCAAATAACAAGAATGGATTGGTCTGAATCTTACAACTTTTACAGGAAAGAATTATCAGAAAAACTTTTTAAAAGTGCCTTTAGCATGATACAATATAAAGAAGTAAACTCACTATTAAGATTAATTTACAGTGAATACACAGTATTTTGTAGATGTGATTAATATTTGCAATCAGTTGATTTTAAGGAGATGACTCTCAAAAATAATATTGGTGACCCTTATCTAATCAGACGAAGGCAGTGAAAAACTGAAGTTTCTAGAAGAAATTCTGCTTTGAGACTGCAGCATAGAAACGCTGCCTGAGTTTCCAGCCTCATGAAATCCACCCTGTGGATTTCAGACTTACCAGCCCCTAAATTGCATGGGTCAATTCCTTAAAAGAGGCCAGATCTGGTGGCTCAAGCCTATAATCCCAGCACTTTGGGAGGATGAGGCAGGAGGATCACTTGAACCCAGGAGTTTGAAATCAGTCTGGTCAACATGATGAAACCCCGTCTCTCTAAACAAACAAACAAACAAAAAAAAACCTCTCTCTCTCTCTCTCTCTCTCTCTCTCTCTCTCTCTGTGTCTGTGTGTGTGTGTGTGTGTGTGTACATATCCTGTTGGTTCTGTTTCTCTGGAGAACCCTAATAGACACATTCACTGAAGAATCTTACAAAGATAAAGTAGACTAGCAGCTAACAGACATAACTCTAAGTGGCTTCAGGTAAAGATTTTAGAATGTAGAAAAAAACAGAGTCCTTATCAGTTTGGTAACATAGGCTCTAAATAAATATTAAAGGATAAAGAAATCACCTTTAGGGTATCTCAGGCTGTTTGTAGTCTGTGCAACAGCTAATAGGAGACCAGTACCAGCACCTGCCCACGTGCCCATCGGATAAGAGCACCTTTGTTAAGCATCTACTCTAAGCCAAGTGTTGTCCTTATCTAGGGCAAATGACAAGGCCAGGCACTTTCAGAGCTGCTGTGCCACTTGTGTCTATGAAAAGCACTGGGTCTAGAACAGCTTTGGTAGCCAGGACCTTGTAGCTTACCTGGAGGAAGTGGTTGATGGATGCATCATGGAGTCCCAGGGCTTGCTCTACACCTGCTAATTCTCTCAATACTGGTACACACTCAAGACTTTTTTCACCTTTACTGATCTCAACATATTCGAAAGCTGCTTGATAGTGGGGCAAAGCTTCTTTTGATTTCTTCTGACCTTGATACATTCTAAAAAAAAAATCAAAAAAATTATTTTAATCATTAAAATAGAAAATAAGGAAATAAAGGTGAGCTGTTAGTTGGGATGTGAATCTGATTCCTGGTGTCCAGGTTCATTTCCTTGCTAACAAAGCTTTTCCTCCGAGAGGCAGCAGGGCATGGTGGTTAAGAAGATGGGGTCTGGAATCCCCTGGAAGGTTGGAGTCCTGGCTTCACCACTGACTACATGTATGACCTTCAAGTCACTCGTTTCCTCATTTGTGAATTAAGGATAACAGTTCTCACACTTCTTTGGGTTATTATGAATATTAAATTAATTGATATTCATAAAACGCCTAGAATAATCTCTGCTACACAGTAAGTGCAATACGTAGGTAGGTATTGGTTTAAAAACTATAAAATACTTCACAAAACAACAATAGCAATCATCACGGAAAGGATGCTAAGATGCTGATAACTGATCTGTTGAGAAATCTTAGAAATTTCCCAGTACTGGGGAGGATGTGACACCCTCTCATTAACCATTGAGGAGAATATAGTTTGGGTATAAACTTTTCTATATCAAAATCATAAACATATATGTACACACACACACACACACACACACACACACACACACAATTTTGCTAATTCCAATTCTAGGAATTTATCTTGAAGAGATACTCTGGCAGGGCAAGCGGATATATATACAAGAACATTTACCTTAGCATTCTCTCTAATGGTGGAAAAGTCCAAAGCACTTAAAATGCACCAATAGGAGACCACGCAAGCAGGTTACAGGAAGTACATCTACACTGTGGAATGCCATGTAGCCATGAAAATTAGTGCTGATCCATATGTATTGAAACAGAAGTTTACCCATTTTATTTATTTCAGTGAAAAGGCAGGCTATAAAATATTCTTATATCATCTCACGCATGTGAAAATTTTATATCTAATCTGCATGTACATACATGCATAGAAAGATGCAAAAGGATGGTCATGAAAATGTTAGCAATACTTACCCCTAAGTTGTTACACTGTCATTTTACTTTTCTTATTTGTGCTTTTCTAAATTTCCCAAATTTTCTTCTATGAAAATATGTTACTTTTATATCATAAAAAAATTTAGAAATTATAAGTAAAGGTGGCAGTGGGAAAATACTTCTGTAGCTTCTTAGAATAAGCATCTCTCATATAAAAAATGTGTCCCTACATATTTTTCAGCAAACACAATATACATTTAAAAATAATCTTCTCAGCTGGGCGTGGTGGCTCACACCTGTAATCCAAGCACTTTGGAGGCCAAGGCTGATGGATCACCTGAGGTCGGGAGTTCAAGACCAGCCTGACCAACGTGGTGAAACCCCGTCTCTACTAAAAATACAAAAAATTAGCTGGGCATGGTGGTGCATACCTGTAATCCCAGCTACTCAGGAGGCTGAGGAAGGAGAATTGCCTGAACCCAGGAGGCAGAGGTTGCGGTGAGCCGAGATCACACCATTGCACTCCAGCCTGGGTAACAAGGGCGAAACTCCGTCTCAAAATAAATCAATAGATAAATAAAAGGGAAAATAAGGAGAATAAAAAATAAAAATAATCTTCTCCATAATGTTTGTTAAGACTATTAGGAAACTGTTCTTTCATAGAAAACTCTTAGGTGAAAAATTTATAATCCCTCCTATGTTGCCGTCCACCCCAGAACCTTTAATACCAAAAGGCCTTGTGAGTCCCAAACTGCCCGAGGGAAAACTAAAAGACTACAAAAGATAGGTATTATTTTCAACTCAACCACTGGATATTTTTCACACCTATTTTTGTTTTCTAAAGGAATTAACTAATAGAAGTAAAGATTCTTTTCAGTTCTGTGGTTCAGATGGCCACAGTGGAATTGAATGCTGATTGAAGAGTTTATGAATCTGGATACCTTCTATAATTGTGAAGATGTTTAAAAATACAGGAAAAGTTCAGGGACCAAGGCGGGCTACAGCTTGTAGAAACTCCAATCTGGGAAAGAAAAAGATTAATAGGTGACCCAGTAATACTGGGCATCCTTTCTGATGATGAAGGAGCTTAGAATATAGTGGGTAGTCATTAGTTTTGTAAATATCATACTTGATATTTGCAGAGAAAACCCATTAGAACCTTTGGTGATACAGTCTCTGAAACATAGTTGGTAAGAAATCATTTAGCCAAAAACTTAGATTCCCTCATAGACAAAACTTAAATAAACAAAAATGGGAGTTAGCAAACTATAGTATGGGAGCCAAATATGCTGTTTTTCATTTTTGTAAATAAAATTTTACTGGAAAATGCCATGCCCATTCGTTTTCAAATCATCCATAGCTGTTTTTGAAATATGACAAGAGTTCACTGGTTACTACAGAGACCACATGGCCTACAACATCTAAAATATTTATTATCTGGGCTTTTAGGGAAAAAGTTTGCTGACCTCTGGTCTAGAATCTAGAGAAAGTTACATACTTTCTCTAAAACCAAAAATGATTTCAGTTTTTTTCCATTTAATTCAGCCTAGAGAATTCAGACAACACCATGGATAATTGAGAAAAGGAAAAAAATCTTCATCTTTTTCCTGTCTCATGTTCATAAATGATGCAGTGTGCCATGGAAGAAAGAATGGGTCCTTTGTTTCTCAGACTGCCTGTAAAAGTCACAGAAGAGAAATGAAGGAAGTACAAACACCAAGATAATTTTATCTGGGCAAGTGCTTTAAAAGATAGCAGTAAAGTTTAGTAATCAAGCTCATAAATGACCAAAAAAGAAAACAATAACAAGGCATGTATTCATTGATATATTAAAAATTCCTTCTCTCCTGAGGTAAGTCACTAAAGTGTTTGGGGGTTTGTTAATAGGGCAGGGACCACGGAAAACTTGTAGCCACCTACTATCTCAGCCTAAAGCACAGTATGTCATTCCAAGTTAACACCAGGTTACCTCTTCAGGTTTCAAAAAGTCATCCTTCAAATACCCAACACTCAGAGAAAATGTTATGGAAAATAAAATAAAAGGAGAGGCAGGAATATCAGTTGCAAGTAAGTGGGAGTAGAAAACCCAAACTGTGGTCTGAGCAGTCTTGCCGACAAAACTTGGACAAGCACAAAATGTCTCTGAACCTTGGTTTCTTCATCAGAACACACTGGTTGTTGTGAGAATTGAGTAATATGTCCACGAAAGCACTTTGCAGACAGAAGCACACCACAGAGATTAGTATTTAATGTCTACACATAGTATCTTTTACTCCTTCTCCTCCTAACCTGCATGCCATATGCAACAGCCTCAGTTTGTTCCCATGTTGAAACAGGCTCAATTGTGATCTCAGCTCCACCCCAACAGCAGCCATATAAGAGTTTCAAAAGTTCAAATAACAGGCAAAATCAGAGAAACTGATTGAAACTATTGTGCAAGTGAAGTGGAGATTTTCTTATCCACTTGAGTTTTTTAAAAAATTTAGAATAATTTATCATAAGGATACATACTCATCACTAAAAGTAAAAACAGAAAAATAAAAACAAAATGTATATAAAATGAGATATCTCATACCATGTACACAAAAGTTCCAAGTGGATTGGAGGACAAATTTTTTTTTTTTTTTTTTTAGATGGAGTCTTGCTCTGTCACCCATGCTGGAGTGCAGTGGTGTGATCTTGGCTCACTGCTTCCTCCGCCTCCCAGGTTCAAGTGATTCTCCTGCCTCAGCCTCCTGAGTAGCTGGAATTACAGGTGTGGTCCACCATGCCTGGCTAATTTTTGTATTTTTAGTAGAGACGGGGTTTCACAATGTTGATCAGGCTAGTCAAGATCTCCTGACCTTGTGATTCACCTGCCTCGGCCTCCCAAAGTGCTGGGGTTATAGGCATTAGCCACCATGCCTGGTCTAGAGGACATTTTTTTAAAAAAAATGTATTATTATTATGGATACATAATTGTACATATGTATGGGGTACATGTAAAATTTTCATATAAGCATACAAAGTTAATGATCGAATCAGGATTATTAGCAGACCCATCACCTCAAGAATTTATCATTTCTTTGTGTTAGAACATGCCAGTTCCATTCTTTCAGTTTTTTAAAAATAGAAAATAAAATATTGTTAGCTATAGTCAACCTATTGTGCTACCAAACATTAGGCCTTATTCCCACTATTCACCTATATTTTTATACCCAGTAACCTTCCCCTCTTCATCTCTCACTCCCTACTACTCTTCAAAGCCTGTAATAACCATCATTCTGCTCTCTATCTCCATTAGTTCAATTTTTCTTTTCTTTTTAAAAATATTTTTAGCTCCCACATTTGAGTGAAAATGTGGTATTTTCTGTGCCTGGCTTCTTTCACTTAACGTAATGTCCTCTAGTTCCATCCATTTTGCTGCAAATGACAGGATTTCATCCTTTTTTATGGCTAAGTAATATTTTATTATGCATATCTACCAAATTTTCTTTATCCATTCACATACCGATTGACACTTAGGTTGAATCCTAGGTTGGTTGTTGTGAATAGTGCTGCAATAAACATGGAAATGCAAATACCTCTGATATACTGATTTCCTTTCTTTGGGGTATATATGGGCAGTGGGATTGCTGGATCATATGGTAATTCTATTTTTAGTTTTCTGAGAAACTTCCACACTGTTCTCCATAGTGGCTGTACTAACTTGTATTCCCACCAACAATGTAGGAGTGTCCCCCTTTCTCTACATCCTCACCAGCATCTATTATTGCCTTTTTAATAGAAGGCATTTTAACTGGGGTCTGATAACTCATTGCAGTTTTGATTTGCATTGCTCTGATGATTGGTGATGTTGAGTATTTTTCATATACTTGTTGGTCATTTGTATGTCTTCTTTTGAAAAATGTCTATTCAGACCTTTCGTCTATTTTAAAATCAGGTTGTCTTTATCTATTGAGTTGTTTGAGCTCCTTATTTATTCTGGTTATTAATCTCTTGACAGATGGGTAGTTTGCAAATATTTTCACACATTCTGTGAAATCCATATATTTTGTCATATAT